GTCTTACTTATCAATTTTACTGTTTTGCTTTTTGTTTCATTGATTTTTCTCCATTTTAGTCACCTCAAAGACAAGATCTCCAGAATATCATTATGTTTTTGATGAATTTTTGTTTCTAAATGTTTTTTGTGTTTTGTAGATAATTGCTGTGTAAGTCAGTTAGTAAATATTCATGGCTCATAAATCCTTAGTCATGGATATTCCAACAGAACTATGTTGAGTCCTTCTCCAAATTATGCAGACCCAGTAGAGGAAGAATAGAATTGTTTAAATTTATTTAGATTATTCTGGCAATTCCGAACTCTAATAGCCCCTGGAAAAAAGACAAGAAACAGGTAATATTGCATGTACTCCAAAATTTTATGTTCTTTATTGTGACCACAAGGAATTAGCCAGGTACTGACCCAATTAGAAGTCAGTTTGTTGCAAACCTACCGAGGGGTGCACTGACCACAATGTACTCCCGTGCACGGACAAAGTGCACTGTGCTCTGCTGATTTGTTTGTTGGCCTTACTGGGGAGTGTGCTCACCCATGCACATTAGCCAGGATGGACAGGTGCACTTGAGGTCCTGCAGAGTTAGCCACATCAGTTGTGATAGTTTCCTCTTCTTTTTGGTTGGTGTAATTACCTCTAACTTTTCTGCACAATGTAGCCTTCTTGCTTGTGATCACTAGCGCTTAACCTCTTTCCTGGAGGTGCTGATGGAAGCCCAGTGTATCTCACCTTCCATTTCCTTATCCCTTTTTCTGCTCACTTTCTATTAACTCAGTTTCTTTAATAGCCCATGGCTCCTAATGCTTTTCTACTTTCTAACTCTTATTTTTAACTGAGATAGCAGTTGATTATATGATTTAGAGGAAAATAAGTTCATATCTCTTCTATTTTTCAATCAGTTTTGGCAATTTATAATTTTTCTAGAAAATTGTTTGTATCACTTAGTTTTTTTCAAAATTGGGGATCCGAATCCTTACAGTGTATTTTTTATTTATTTATTTTTTTAAGATTTATTTATTTATTCGTACAGAACTGGGGTACAGGCCAGAGATGCGGAGGGTGAGAGGATTCACCAGAGACAGAGTGGGGAGCAGAACAGGCAGATCTACGAAGTACACTGCTGAGGGGAGCAGCGGGCGGGTCAGGAGAGGTCTGCCTCGCCATGTGGTCGCCTCCGGGGCAGGCGGGAATCGAACTCAGCGGAGGTGGCTTTAGTTTCTCAGTGCAGTGCTTTAACCCGCTGCGCCACCAGGGAGGGCCTACAGTGTATTTTTTAATTACTTTATAAATCTTTGCTGTGCTTTTTGCCTCCCTTTTCATTTCTAATACTGCTTTTTGTACTTTGCACTTATTTTTGTTGGTTCATTTCAATGCTCTTTGCAAAGAATCAATCTTTAACAAGAATACTATAAGAACTGTACACCTTTTTGTTTTTTTTTAACAGATTCATCAATTTTTAACACTTACCAGATTGGTTTTATCATTTTCTCTTTTGCTCAATGCATGCATACATGTGCGCGCGCACATACACATACAATTGTTTTTGAGGTGCTTGAAGTTACATATATCCTGCTTTATGTACGTTCTTAATACTTTGGTGTATCTTTCTTAAAAGCAGGGTATTCTCTTACATAAGCACAATACAATAGTATTTAGAAATTAAACATAAATATAATACTTTTAATAATTACATTTTAGTATGTGCTAATAATGCTCTTACAGCATTTTATGTTTAAGGTCATGCAGTGTAATACCTTTAGCATTTACCTGTCATGTCTCTAATCTGTTCCTTTGTGACACAAACATTTAAAGAATAGTGACTCTGTTACAGGGAAGCCCAGAGTGGACTGAGCCGCCTGTCTGTGGGGCCTCATGCGGCACTCACAATTTGATTATACTGCAGGTACACACAAAAGGGTCAATAATGGGTTTATTTACAAAAGGGGAAAGGAGTAGAAAACAACCCAGGGAAAGAGAGCAGGATACCAACTAACTGGAATATCTTACTGGCACGGCTGACTGAAAACACCAAGTCAAGAGTCACGAGGTCTGGAGAGCTGCTTCCTAAGCGAGAGCGTGAGATGCAATCGCACCCTATTTATCCCCCAAATGTCCCACAATTCATTCCTGCTAGCTCTGTCCTTGGGTCCTCGCAGTTCTCTCCCTGGTACTGCTGGGAGTTGTAGTTTCCAATCACTGGAGTAGGGGATAGTGTCCAGAAAGCTGGAGTAGAGGATGGAGTCCATAAGACTCTGCAGACATCCTTAAGACATCCTTCCCCTTAACAACTCCTTTTTCCTTCTTGGTAAAGGAAGTAAAAATTTTAGGGGCCCTCCCTGGTGGTGCAAGAGATTAAAGTGCCACATTATGAAGCTCTCTGAAGCCACTACAGCACAAGTTCTATCCCCTGCCAGGGAGCTGGCCCACACATGGCCTGGCAGACCTCTCCTGACCCTCCCGCTGCTCCCCTCAGCAGTGTATTTCAGTACATCTGCCTTTTCTGCTCCCCACTTTGTCTCTGGTACCCCATTTCTATAGGCATAGATAAATAAATCTTTAAAAAAAAACAAAACAAAACAAAAAAAAAGCTTTCAGTCTAGTTTCTAATTGTACTTCTTACATAATATTATTTGTAAACATGTTATTTTCTGTTTGTCAGGTAAGAACTGTACTAATTAGCATAATAGTTTAAATGTATTTATTTAATTTTACTCTTCCAAATTTTTGGACATTAGTGAAACAAAAAATGCACATGAACACATATTTTACTTGGTCTATTTTAAATGCCTCTGGCAAACAGTCCTCTATAAGGTACCACAGATTTTTTTTTTTCCAGAAGAAGAAAAAAGTGTTAGAAATTAAAATCTTTTAACTAAAATTAGAATTTACTAGTCTACACTCTTCAGAATCTGTTCACAAGCTCCTGGGAGGCATAGTACCGTTATTATTCAAGCTCCTCCTCCTCCATTTAAAAAAAAAAAGATCTAATATATAATGATCTCTTAGTTCTCTTTTGTTTGCTTTTGATTGAAGGAAATAGCTTCCTTCACTTTCCTCTATTTATAATGTTATGATGTTGGATCTAATGTGAATTTCTTCTACTTAGCATATAGTATATAGTGGGAATATGTGTTTTTATTCATTCTACCAATCTCAGTCAATTAAATTAATGCACATACATTTAATCAGTGATAAATAGGGACTTCTGTGATAGTATTACCTATTTTCAATATCTTATAACCCTCATTTCTTTCATTTCTACCTTTTGTGTTGTCATTGGTGTTGAAACAAAATTTCTCACGAGAGATTTGCAAATGACTTTATTTAGGATTCTCTGTAATTCAGTTCTCTTGCTGTTGCTAAGATTCTGTGTTTCAATTTCAGTATCTGAGTTCATCTTGTTTTTAGTTGCTTTGATATTATTTTCATCTTTTATCGAATTTAGGGAGTTTTCAAGCCTTTGTTTCTTTACGTATTATCTCTGCCCTTCTCTTTTTTTCTGAAACTCCCACAGTGTTTATGTTGGTAAGATGGTGTTCCTACAGGTCTTAGGCTCTATTGCTTTTTTTCAACCTTTATTGTTGTTAGCCTATTTGTTTACCGTTAATCACTTTTCTATATATTATGGAGACTCAATAATAACTACTTCCCTGGGGCCCTCCCTGGTGGTACAGCTGGTTAAAGCATAGAACTAGGAAGCCCAAGCCATTTCAGTATGTATTGAATCCCTTGCCCTCTGCCCCAGAGCTGATCCACATGGCATAGCAGACCTCTCCTGACCAGCACTCTGCTCCTGTTGTAACAGGTCACCGGTGCCCCTCTCTCCCTGTCCTGTAACACATTCAGCAGTGTACTTCATCAGTCTGCCTATTCTGCTCCCTACTTTGTCTCTGGTGAATCCTTTCACCACCCCTGCACCTCTGGCCTATACCCCAGTTCTATATGCATAAGTAAATAAATCTTTTAAAAAATAATATCTACTTCACTGGCTTCAAGTTCTTAATCTTTATTCTCCCTGCTCAATTTGCTTTTGCATTCCTCTAATGAATTTTTCATTTTGGGTACTGTGTTTTCATTTCCTGGATTTCTTCTTGGTTCTTTTTAAGCTATCTTACCTTTCTTTCTTTTTTTTTTTTTTTTTTCCCCACATCACTTCTTTTTCAAGGACAGTTTGTGTTGATTATATTTTCCCCTTTCAATGAACCATACTTTGTTTCTTTTATGCCTGTATTGTTTTTGAATACTGCATATTTAAAGCTAAATCCCTCCTCCCTAGCATTTGTTTGTTTTATTTTTGATCATTTACACTGTCTCAGCTTGAGTTGTCTTTTTGAGTCTTTCCTTGGAGACATACACAATCATTGTCTGACATTTATGCTGTTTTGGCCTCCTATTCTTTAATGTCTGGCTCCCAAAATGAGAGAATAAAAATCCTGGAAAGTAACTTCATACTGATATTAAGGACTTGTAGTTACTGGGGAAGTTAAAGCAACAATGCCTGATACCTTTATCTATACCTCTGTGATCAGGAGTAACAATCAGAGATCAAAGTATAGTAGCCTGTTTGCAAGCTACTTCAGACAAACTGGTACACAGGTGTGTCTGCCAAGTGGCTTTGAATATGGGATGGGAATGTTGGTAGTTACCACTGTGCTATTGGGTAAAATTCACCATAATGTACTGTTCACTTCTTTCCATGGAAGTTACAAGCTTTTAACAGATGGTTACATCAGAGAGATTCTGCTGCTGCAGTGTGTGTAGGTGGTAGGTCAGAGTCCTGGTGCTTGGTACTCTGCCACCAAAATTCTCTTAAATTCCATCTTAATTTTTGTATTGAGTGACTTTATGCAGTAGATTAATTAGCAAGATTTTTGCATTAATATATGGAGCATTTTTTACTAAATTACAGTAACTTTCTTGCTTGTTTGTATTTAAAAGTTACATGAGACATGTTTTACATATATGTGTGTGTGTTGTAATTTTTGGTATTTAACTTTTGGCAGGTGGTTTTGGAATGTATGCTTAAAAAAGACCTCATTTACAATAAGGTCACGCCAACATTTCACCACTGGAAGATTGATGACAAGAAATTTGGCCTTACCTTTCAAAGTCCTGCTGATGCAAGGGCTTTTGATAGAGGCATTCGAAGAGCTATAGAGGATATTTCTCAAGGTATGTTTCCTGAATTTATCCACTACATGTAGTTTAGTTTCCTGACTTCCAGCAAGTCAGCTTTTGTGATATGTGATTAGTACTCAAGAGCTCACTGTAGGTGAAAGAAAATAATGGTCTTCTGAGTCGGTTTCATATTCCTCATATCACAGTTTATACCAAGTGAATATATTACCTGAAGAATCCATTAACTACAGTCTTAAGCTCATTCAAATGTTTTCAAGTAAGAGCTTGAAGAAGAGGGAAGCCATCAAGTAGAACTTTACAATGTCCCAGTAAGGCTTTCCATTTATGTGTGTTAAAGTAGTCATATCCTTGTTTAGTAATGATAGAGAAAATGTCCCAATAAACAAATAACATGTAAGTTGCAGTTATTCTGTGGTAAAACTCTTCTCTCAGTACCTGATTTCATTATGGAAGATTGGCAGAGAACCCAGAACTTCTTGTGTATACTCTTTGTATATGTTGCCCATCTGTTAATAACTCTATAGAGAATGCAAATTTTAAAAGGAGAAAAAATGTATTTACGTGTAAGACCAGCCTCTTTGCAATTAAAACAAAAAGAAATTACATTAAAAACCATATCTCCCCAAGAAGGAATAACAAAAATTTGGTTTGTTTTTCAAATTAAGATAACTTTATTAATTGAAATAACCTTTTTTTGTGAAGTAAATGAATCAAAATGTGCTATATATCAATGTGATTTGTATATTTTGAAGATGGTATTGTAGAAAATTTAAAAGAACTGAACCACATGCAAGACTGGAAATGCTTAGTACAAATTTGTATTGATAGTGCATGAAACGGGGTTAATTTACCTACTAAAGATTAGAATTTAGTAAGCAATGTTTGACTTCGGTTTCAAAAAATTACATGAAATAGCAATCATTTTTTAAATGAGAACCCATAAATTGTCCATAGATTTTAACATTGGCTGCACATTTAAATTACCTGGGAGGTTTTTGAAAATTAAAGTAACTGGTCCCCACTATAGACAACTTCATCTGTGTTTACAAACTTCTCAAATAGCTAAAATGGTATAAAGAAGTGCTCTCCTGCTTGAATGATTATATTATACATTGCAAGTAGAGATAAAATGAGTACAGATATATTGTGTAGCAATGGTTATGGTTTTTAAATAACTGCAAGAAACTTATAAATTAAGAACTGCATGATGCTTGATTCCTCAACCCTCAGAGATCCTGACATCATTGGTTTGAAAATATACTTGGCATTAGAATATTTTTTAAAAACTCTCCAGTTTATCCTGACTTTCAGCTAGGTTTGAGAAACTAATGCTTTAAAGAGAAAATCAGTATCCATGACTTCTAGAATTTTTTTTAAACAATTTATTTTTGCGTGCAAGAACTGGGGTACAGGCCAGAGGTGGGGCGGGGGGGGGGGGTGAGTGGTGATAGGATTCACCAGAGACAGAGTGGGAAATAGAACAGGAAGATCAATTGAAATACCTGGCCGAAGGGAGCAGTGGGCTGGCAGGAGAGGTCTGTCACCCCATGTGGGGTTTCCTCCCTGGGCAGGATCAAACTCCTGCATTGGCTGCAGATTCATAGTGCTGTGCTTTAACCCTTACACCACCAGGTAGGGCCCCATGGCTGCTAGAATTTGTGATTTATTTTTTAAGTTTTTAGTTAATTTTAAGCTCATATACTCATGTCCCCATAAAGAGTGTGTGTGCTCTCTTCACTAGGACTAGCTAGATTGTGTTTAATATTTTAAAAGGGAACTTACAAGGAAAAGCTTCAGACAAGCTACTCAGGTAAAAAAGACTCATTCATATTATTTTTTAACTTTTTTTTTTTAAAGATTGATTTATTTACTCAAACAGAACTGGGGTACAGGCCAGAGATGTGGAGGGTGAGAGGATTCACCAGAGACAGTGGGGAGCAGAACAGGCAGATCGAGGAAGTACACTACTGAGGGGAGCAGGGGGCGGGTCAGGAGAGGTCTGCCATGCCACATGGATCACTTCCAGGGCAGGCAGGGATTGAACTCATGTGGAAGTGGCTTAAGCTTCTTAGTGCTGTGCTTTAACCTGCTGTGCCACCAGGGAAGGCCTATTTTTGAACTTTTTAAAAAAACATTCTAGTTATGATTAACCACTGCATAGACTTTTAACAGTCCCTCAAATTTCTCTTCACTTTTTTGGATAATAAACAATGCAACCCTTTCCAAAGGGCAGGTTCTTTCTCTGTTTGTTTTGTCTTTTAAGACTGACAAACCCAAGAAGAATTTGCTAGGATAAATACCTACTTCATTATTTATCAATATTAAAGGTACTATTGAATACCATGAAAACCTTATAGAAATATTGATGCATAATGAGCAATAATAACAATTAGCAGTTGACAAGAGTGGATTAATGCTCACTTGTTTTGTTTTGCTAAAGCAGCTAAAACCCTAGTTCTGGGTAATAAATACTGTTTCTTGCTTAAACTGTTTAGAAAAATTGGCTAAATCATATGTGAACATAACCTAAACACAGAGGAATGTGGTGTTTATAATCGGCCTATATTTTGAGTATTTTCAGAAATCAAGGATAGGTCTTGCTGTAGAGAATGATACTTTCTAAACAACATCTGTTTAGTAGGTTAAAAAAATCTGTGGGAAAAACTCATTACTTTATTATCTTCTAACAAAATATAAGTGGTCAATATCTGGCTATGTAACAGGCAGCCTAGAATTATCATTAAAATAATACAATGATAAACTCAATTAGTCGGCAGTACAAAAACAAGGCAAAATTTCTGTGTTCGATAAACATTTTCCTAACTTTTTTCTTAGGTTGCCCAGCATCAAAAAATGATGCTGAAGGAACAGAAGATGACTTACAAGTAAGTAGTTTGGCTTGAAAAGAATTTCTGAACACCAAGAATGTGGAGAGGAAATCATTGGCCTTGAGAAATAAAACAGTTCATAGAACTTCTAAAAAAATTTCTGAGACACTATTTGTCAGATTGTAAAGTACAAGTGGGGGATGGGATGGGGTGTTTGTGTGTCTGTGCACATGAGTGCATGTGCATGTACATATATATTTTATGCACATACACACGTGTGTGTGTATATATGTATGTATATATATATATATTTCTTGCTTGAGTTGATGTTACAGCCTTGTGCAAGAAGGCAACTTTCCTTCCTCTTTGGGAGTCCTCAGTCTTGTCTTTCCATGATGAAGCCTGCCTCTTAGTGAAGAATAATCTCTTTTACTCTTTTAAAATGTTAGCCACATCTGAAAATCACCTTCACAACTTTTAGACTGGTATTGCTAAAAATTAGGCATCCTAGCCTAGCAAAAATCCAGACAGCTGTATTTTTAAATATGTATGGTGGTTATTATGAATGTTAGGACATTCATATTTTTTTCCTTACACTTTGCTATATTTCTTTTTTTTTAATATTTATTTATTTATTTAGACATATAGAACTGGGGTATAGACCAGAGATGCAGGAGCAGTGAAAGGGTTCACCGGAGAGAGATTGGGGAGCAGACAGGCAGATCAATGATGTACACTGTTGAGGGGAGCAGCGGGCAAGTAGGAGAGGACTGCTGTGCAGTGGGGGGTCACTTCCAGAGCAGGGATGGAATTGCACCGAAGCAGCTGTGCTTGCCTGCAGTGCTGCGCCCTTACCTGTTGCACCACTAGGGAGGGCCCTGCTATATTTCTTAAATTTTCAAAAATAAGCATTTTTACTTTCTAATTTAAAATGCATATAAAACATTTTATCATTACTTTAGGTCACAACTATTATTAAAATCCTATGAATAATGTAATATTAATATAGTGCAAGGTATATATATACACATGCTTTGGTTCACTTGCTTTTATCTTATGAATATTAATAATAATTGCAGCAAACTTGGAAAATGCTTTTTAAAAAAAGGCTATATAAGCTCAGAAGCCCACAATCCAAAAGTAATCCAAAAAATTTAACATTTTCACTGAGTAATAATACCATCTTGTTTTTGTTTATTTTTATTTCTAAGTATATGTAGATGCATAAATAATACCACTTCACTTTCGTTTGTTTTTATTACTCAGTATATTGCAGATGCATAAGTAGTAAAGTTCTTACATTGCATGATGAAGATATAAATTAATAGAGCCATTCCCATTCTCCAGTTTTAAAAAGATACTAGCTTATTTTTTATTTTTATTACTATGTTTTATATACTCACAGATCTTCCTCTAAAATTTTTTTCTGCATCACTATTTCCTAGATATAGGTTACTTAACATAGACTCATTAGAAACATACATGCCTATATGCTCTACTGCTATATCATGAGGATACTCAAGCAGCTTCATGGGGATGGCCATGTGTTGAAGATGTAACTGTTGTTAGTGAGCAACCCTGGAAGCAGGTCATCCATCCTATAATGAGCCCGCAGATGACTGCAGCAACTGTTACTGGTATCTTAACACATTGAGAGTTGAGAGAAACAACTAGTTGTTTTTAAATTTGTGATTGATAGAAACTGAAATAAAAATGTTACTGTGAGTCATGAAGTCCAAGGGTAGTCCTTTAATAATACAGATTTGGTACCTGATACAGAGTGCTGTCATAGCAAATACTTTAAAGTTTGGGAGAAACTTTGAACTTGGTTAGTAGATGGAAATTTCAACATAAAATCTTTGAGGAGATTGCTTTAAGTAAGAGCTTAAAAGAAAATGAAGAAAACCATATAGAAGCTGGTAAAAAGAAAATTGTTGTTATGTAGTATCAGCACAGTTTAGCAACATTGTAATGTGTGCTAATGTGGGAAGTAAATAGAAAATGTATCTAATGACCTGGGTGATCCAGCCATGGAGATATTTCAGGCAAAAGATTAAAGATTTTGCTTGGTTTCTTCTTTGTGCTTATGGTAAAACTGGAGAAGGAAATAGCCTAAGGAAAGGCTCTTAAACAAAAAGGAACCAGGACTGGCTGGTTTAGAAAATTCACAGCCTCTTAATATGTCAGACTATGCTAACATTAGGAAATGGCTTCCAGGCAAAGATCAAATTAAGGTCACTCTCAGAATAGCTTTGTCTAAAGATGAAGTCCAGAGTTGGACTATAAAATCCTTTGTTAAGGTCCCAGAAAGCTCTCTAGTTTGCCTCAGACAATATTTCAGTCAATGTAACATGGCTTGTAAGTAGTTTAAGGGTCTCTCTTAGCAGAAATATAGAGAAGAGTTTCTCATCTCAGGCCTGTGAGTACATTTTTTGTTTTACTGGGATGAATACCAATAATATTCACAAGAAACTCACAGAGTTTTTAGAAGAGTGTATTGACAGAAATATCACCAATTTGGACTGAAGAGCAACACTTTGGATCACCAAAATTCTACTGGCAGAAAGCAAGTTGAAAAGCACTGAGCTTTTGAATATGAATTACCTTTTGTAGAATCGAAGGATGACTCAGAAATCAGAACCAAAATCTTAAGGGAAGAACCAAAAGCTGTGAAGGATTAATTATTTGAGGACTTGCCTAAATGCTATTCAAGGAACTTTTAAAATGTTCACAACATGATTTCAGAATGACTTTGGATAAATGACTCCATTTTTCCTCCCATTTTCTCCTATTTTAAACAGAAAGTAGTTATAACCTCTGCATGTTCTGTCATTGTATTTTAGGTGTGTGGGGGCAGCTAATTTGTATCTTTAGTTCACAGTTCTTCAAACTGAGTGAGAGGAACTGTACTTAAAAGGAACTGTACCCAGAAAGTTTTACCTATCTGTAAGTGGACCTTATTTAGACTATAATATCCTTGATCTGAAATTGTTGCTTTATAGGGTATAGCAATTTTGGGTAGTCTTGGAATTGGAGTTGATTGTATTAATATATGAGGAAAATGTAAACATTGTCCAGAGAGTAACAATAGTGGTTTTAAAATATGTCCACAAAATTTCTTTTAAGTCTTGTCAGAATCCCTTTTGCTTGAGTGTGGGCTATACTTAATAATACTGCTATCAAATAGAGTGTGTCATAAATAAGAGGAGGTCAGAAGAAAATTTGTAACTTCCGTTTACTCTCTGTCTTGGATCACTTATTTTGGAGCAGTCTGCTACTATATGCAAGGACATTCAGGAGTTCTTTAAAGAGATCCATGTGGTGAAGAATTGAAGCCTTTTGCCAACAAACAAGGAACTGGGGCTTCTAACAATAGCTGTGTGAGTGAACCTTCTAGTCCGTAGGCCCAAATAAGTCTTCAGTCGCCAAGGCCAAAAACTTTCCTCCAGCCTCATGCAGGGCTATAAACCAGAACCACTCAGCTAAGTTTCTACCGAACTTCTCACACACACAAATTATGGGTAATGTTTTTTTGTTTGAAGCTGCTATTTTGTGGTAATTTGTTCTATATCAATAACTAATATACTAGCAGAAAGGAAATTTTAACTTAAGATAGAAAAGAATAGTATTTAACATTTGTGTGCTTTAACCCTGTTCACCTTCCCGTTACCAACTTTCTTAGATGGTATCTAGTTTATCTTGGTTTTATAACCTCTTTTTTATAATTGAAAGTATGTTGAAGTAGAAAAAATAAGAATAGTCTTTATTAGTTTAAAAATATGTATTACATAATCTGAGCCTAATTATGTAATATATTAGCATTAACTGTATGAGAAGAGGGAAATAATGTGATGTCAGCAAATGTGTGAGAAAAATTTTATGAACATCCTTTTTGAATTTTTTTTTTTTTAAATGCATACAGAAACAGGCCAGAGATGCAGGGCGGTGAGAGGATTCACCAGAGACAGAGTGGGGAGCAGAACAGGCAGATCGACGAAGTACACTGCTGAGGGGAGCAGTAGGCGGGTCAGGAGAGGTCTGCCATGCCATGTGGTCAACCCCGGGGCAGGCTATAGCTTCTTAGTGCTGTGTTTTAACCCTCTGTGCCACCAGGGAGGGCCTTTTATTTTAAAATTTTAAAAAGAATCTGTATCCAGAATTCAAACTGCCAAATATTTACCTTAATTCATGATATACCAAAATTTTCATATGTTACTTTTATTTGAGAACCCAGAGGGAGAAATGAATATATAGAGATCATAAATAATCTGAAGACACTATATAGCAAGTGGAATAGAAATTATTTTTTGAGTATTCATTCAGCACATGTATGAGCACCTATCCTTTTTCAATAACTATCATGGACATACAGTGATTTGTTGAGCTACAACTTCCTGCTTAATTCAGTGTCAGTCAGTTAACATAAACCAACAGAAAATATTTACCTTTCTATTCATGTATTTGAAGGGTTTCGTAAACACATAATCAATTGTATTTAAAGTCGTATCTTGCTCACCTTTTATGGCTGTTCTTTACTACAGCAGTGATCACATAAGTAGTTGATACTCATGGAAAATTTTCTTAAGGGAAAATCTTCAAGATGAGGTATACTGATATAAGAGGTGGAATACTATTCAGCAATCAAAAGATAAATTAACGTTATTCTCAGCAACATGATTGGAGCTTGACAGAATTACGCTCAGTGCAATAAGTCAGAAGGAAAAAGAAAAACATCAAATGGTTTCACTTATAAGTAGAACATATGGGAACCAAATGAGGCATCAAGGAAAAAATAACATTCTGCTGGGAAGGGAAAGGAAGAAGGATTGGAGCAAGTGAGGGAAGAGCACAAGGGACAGTTATAATGGTGCAAGGGTGAATAGGTTGTAGAAATTCTATGGGTACAAAACCTGAGAAAAGGGAGCAAGTATTGTTAAAAAATGAACAATGATATAAAATATATATAAATAAGAATCTTCAAAATTAAGACTTCTTAAAATCTAGATACTAGTGGCCCTCCCTGGTGGCGCAACGGGTTGGAGCACAGCACTGAGAATCTAAAGCCGCATCCGCATGAGTTCAATTCCTGCCTGCCCCAGAGGTGACCACATGGTGTGGCAGACCTCTCCTGACCCACCCGCTGCTCCACTCAGCAGTGTACTTCGTCGATCTGCCTGTTCTGTTCCCCACTCTGTCTCTGGTGAAACCTCTCACCGCCCCTAAGCCTCTGGCCTGTACCCCAGTTCTGTATGCACAAATAAATAAATCTTAAAAAAAAAAAATCTAGATACTAACAAGATTGTAAATCTTGAAGATAATGAAGATTTGTATTAATAAATGGATAACGGGAATAGTGAAGAGAAAATTTGGATTTGAAAGATATTCACATATTTCGCTTGTTTAGAAAATAATTTTGTTGACATAAAGAGATTTAATTAAAACAAGAAGGGTTTGGCTAAAGTTGTGGAATATCTCAGCCCATTATTTCAGATACAGAGTGGAGGGTAAAAGCAAGTGATGAGTTTATTAGTAAGTTGAATTGCATGAGTAGTTTAATAGAATATGTTTGTATTGTAAAGTATTCTGTATCAAAGAGGGGAAAGTGTGTACTTAGACTTTAAAAGAAATGAACCACTTAAAAGAAATCAAGTTCTAGAAAAATCAGAAAATTACTTTAATTATACGACCAAGGATAAGTGTCAGTATTCATTTCCTTTCAGCAGTTTATCTTTTAGTGGTTACAATACTGTAAGTAAATTTTATATGCTGATTTTTTTCACACTAAATATTTCATATGGTGGATGTTCATTAACCTAATTTCAAATTGACTACTGAGTATTCCATTAAGTGTCTCTATCATAGTAAGTAAATTTCCTTGTTACTCCCTTCTAGGAATATTGCATTTGTGTCTTTATTTTTGTCATTAAAAGTAAGTCTAAGGAAAATATTTTGTGCCTGCACCCATTATTTTAAGCTTTGTCAGTTTAACATATATCTACAGTTACAATGGTGAAAAGAGGTATATACATAAGTAGTAAGGAAATCCATTTTTCCAATTTAGGATTCTTTAACTGTGTTAATATGTATGTCACAATTTATGGATCACATATGCCATACTGTAGATTGTGGGCTCTTTTTTTAAATAGTGAGGGGTTTTCATTTCCACATATCAGACATTGAATGCATCTAGTTATTTTATCCTTGGTTTATAGTTAAAATTAACTCAGTGATATTAAATGTTTTAGGTAATAGTTTAAATTATTATGTAAACATTTAAGTCAAACTATTACTCAAATGTTATACATATTTTTAAATTTACTTTACACCAAAATAGTACTTTGGGTATTTAAAAAAATAATATATATGTATTATTAACCAATATGAAGTGTATTTTTAGTCACAATAGTGAAGCCCTGGGTTATGTAACCATTTTTTGTTTTTTTAGGATAAGGATTTTTGAGTAAACTTTATTTTATTTTACAATTTTTGTATGGCTCAATTAGATGAGAATTCCATAAATTTAACTTGAACCAAATAGCCCTTAGCATTAACAGCATAATTACTTTATAATTCTACTTTGACACAATTACAATTTATGCTTGTTCACAGTTTTAAAGCTCTCTGTGTCAATACAGATTATCATACCCAAATTATAACTTAAAAAAGGTGATTTAGGGAAGTTAATTGCTTAATTATTATACTGTGGCTGGATGAGACAGGGTTCCAACAGAAGCATGTTCTCTAAAAAATTTTTTTGATGTTTTCTACTATTCAACTTGCTAATTTGACAGTTGCTGATTTTAAATTTGCTGTTTTGAAAAATTCTCTGGAACAAATAGATATAGCTGTTTAATTTTTTTATACTTCCCAATTTTGATAATGCAATTTAAAAGAATTTAGCCTGCTTCTTTTCAGCAGTTGAGATTAACTGTCATAATACATTGGGTTAATGATTGTGAAAAATAGCAATTAACATGTTTACTTGACATACTTTTAAGTGACAGTAGAGTTTTTTGTTTGTTTGTTTGTTTTTTAAGATTTATGTGTACATACAAAACTGGGGTACAGGCCAGAGGCTCAGGGGTGGCGAGAGGCTTCACCAGAGACAGAGTGGGGA